ATATAAGAGTGAAAATAAAGTCAGTCATGTGGCACAACATTTTACTCAATATTTTACACCCACTATGTCACTAAAATCAGGTAAGGTTTTAAGCAACCATGAGTCAACAATGAGGCACCCTACTATATTATCTACTGGGGTACATTTTTTAACAGGAGAAAGTGCTCCATTACAGTTCTTATCAGATGTTATAAAAAAATTTTTGGATCCCTGGAGGCATCTTCTGCCTCCCATGCGAGCCCCCTGTAGGTCAAGGCTGGGGGCCTGCTGCAACCCTACCCTATCCTGTCTGTTGCTCCTTCCCTGATGATGTGATGTCACAAATACGTTACAATTGTGGGAGGAATTGTCTGATGTTGATTTCTAAATCAACACCAGACTGAGTGTTGAGTTAGACTGTTGGAGTTAATTTAGAAATCAACACTGGACTGGATTGCTTTTTGTTTAACTCTTTGGAACTCTTTAGTGAGTGTTTGGGAAACTAACACTCATGTTTTTGAATTAACACTGTATTTTTACCATACAACACTTGCACTGGAAATCTGACACTTCCGAATTTGCTGTGTACATGTGACTGGGTGACTGCATTCACTGCAGAGAAAAGTTCAACTCAATAAGACGACTCAAAATTCATCATGGTAGATGGCAGACAGTATTATCTGCTGCCTATTCATTATACATTACTCATGCAGCGCTAGTCAGGCCTTGGGGCGCCAGCTGAAATGAAATTTAAAAGGGAGGATTGCGATGCAGAGGAAAAGGAAATAAGACAAACAGGGAAAAAAGAACTTTGCTGGTGAAATGGTAGAGGGTGCATTACCACCACATTTTATACGGACCTTTTTTTTAAAAATATAAAATCAGTTTTACTTTATGGGTTTTTGTGCCTAGAAATGGTTTTGCTTTAAAACCCAGTGTTCTAGTTTGCATGCTGCATAATAAATCAAATTGACAGAATAATGTTAATTAGACAAAATGCTAAGACGGCTCAATCTCCCACAGGACTAATGGCATTTTGTTTTGAATGAGGTGGACTGAGAAACAACCCTGTGTGTTTATTGCAAAAGCAAAGAGAATGTTGACAATTATCTTTAGGCTGCACAAACCCTTCCACATAATAAAAATATTCAAAAACTGTTAGGGAACAAAAAGTGAAATAATTAGTTAATTAGTGTAACTTTGCTCATATACATTTATATGCATACAGCCAGAATCGCTTTTAGAAGTACTAATTCACTTGGTCGGCTACAAGACTTTAAATCAAACTGAATAAGAGTTTAAGACATCAGCCTCGAAAAAAACTAATTTGTGCATAAATCAGGTGAACATTAACATGGGGCAAACAAGCACACACCACACCACAATATGTCACCTTGGACTTTTCTTCTTTTATTAGTTTCAGATTGAGCTTTTATTATCGAGTCCATTTTTGTCGTTCTGGCTAATGGTCTTAAACTTAAATGTGAATTCTGGTCACTTAAAATTGATCAGGAGTGTATACCAACCTTGCCCTCCCCGCACTTGGTGCCAGTCATGACAAGGCCGGGGTCAGGCAGGTCACCCTGGCCGTCCTGAGTGCTGTATACATAGGTGCCACGGCACTTAACCTCAATGCCGCCTGTCTTGATGGTTGTGTCAATGGAAACAGCGTTGGTGCCTTTGGGCTTCTTGGCAGCACTGTGGCACTGAATCTTGCCACATTTGGCATCACTAAGTAGAAAAACAAGCACAAAAAAAATATGAATTTTCAATTGTTTTCAGACACTGAGCCACAGAAAGGTGGTAAAACTAATTCCTTGGTGCAGTCAGTTGGGTCTAAACATCAAGGAATTTCTAGCTACTGTAATGGAAAGTTTTAAATATGTTTGTTTCACTTTAATCGTCTGTCTTTCTGTCTGTCTGTCTGTCTATATTTGTGTGTATATATCATATAGATGTCAGTGTCTGGATAACATCCAACATATCAGAGAAAACTGTATGTTTTTAAGTTGAAAGATCCACACTATATAAAATGGCTACAAATAAATTCCATGTGTTTATTAATAAAGCCATCAAAGGATTTCAGATGTTTTAGTTGTTCAGTACACCATAAAAACCTGTAAAAAATGTTTATGCCACAAAGCAGAATCTGTTAGTGTTTGATCTTGACAGACCCTGCCCCCAATAACTTCCACCAATCAGTGTCCTAGGCAGCCTTTATGTAAGCCAGGAGGCAAAAGCTGAAATGTTCAGAAAAAAGTCGCTCCAACGAGTCCAGCTTATTGCTACTAGACCAGGAAAGTAACACACACTCACACTAAACCAGGAGCTCAACAGTTGGGGCAGTTAGCCACACTCCCTGCACCTATCATTGAGTCCTTGAGACAGACACTGAACCACACACTTGTTGGTGTGCCAGTGTGTGCATAAAAGAGAAATAAGTGCAAACACTTCTGCATGTTAAAACAAAGAAGCTTTACATGATTGTGAGAAGTTCATGACAAAGAACTGGAGGACTGAGCCAAGGTCATGTCTGTGCTCTGAATGATGCTAGGTCTATTGAGTGGCTCATTCCCAGTTAGTTGTTAGACTATTTCAAACCCTTGAAGTTGAAGTTTTTCTTCTAATTCAAGCTAAACTTTTTGCATAATGAAACTTAGCATTAGAAGCCAAGGACCGATAGTGCTGCTGTGCAGGTGTCTTAATACCAGACACATTTACATATCCTCAATCGATTCAGTGAGTCAGTAACACCTCCATCACTCATGTGGAACTCTGTAATGGATTTAGGCATCAGTGGCTCATGCAGACAGCCATCAAGCACTATAATCCACTAGCTCATTAGCATTGCTAAACAGCTAATTTAGCTCTCTGTGGCCTGAGTGTTCAGAATCCCTGACCGTGGGTGCACTGTGTCTTGGTATGAACAGAAAAATATTACAGTGAGAAATAACACTGCATTAATAACACTTTTAAGTGACTCAAGTGTTATTTGCATTATGGTGAAGACCAGGTTCTGGTAAATTTTACAATTTTTGATCAACAGGTTTTCTGGTGAAAAGAAATATTTTCTTCGACAGAGACATCAACTTTTCATTCATGTGGTATTTACACAAAGAATTAGATATTGTAGAAAAGTTACTTTGTGTTCAACCTCTAAAGTGCTAGTCTATAAAATATTGACATCCTTGTGGAGACCACAGGTAAGGGTTTACTAACACTACAGGGAATTCACACAGAAAACACTGTTGTAATGTCAACTGCTAATTGCGAATATATGATGCTAAAGACAAATCTATTATTATTCTGTCCCTGCTCATTAAAGAGTTTGAGTTATAGATAACTTGTTCCCATAACTCGGAGGATTTTTCTGTATCCATGGGTTTTTATAGATAGAAAGAAAGGTATCTTTGTAACCAATATTTGAGTAAAAACATAGTAATATTTGCTTTAAATATGTAATTAGACAGAGGAAATGGTAAGACGTGCATATTTATTCTTTAAGTTTAATCAGAATCTACTTAAATTAGTACCGGCACCTTGGAGATAAACCCTCCCCCCCAAAACTGAGAAGATTAATTACCTACAGAATAATTCTGAACCAGATTTCCTGACTCAGAGAAGCAAATTAGCCTAACTTTAAAGTATCTAAAGGCACCCCAGATCTGTTTTGAAATCCCATACAATGGAAAATTGGCTTAGATGATGTATGCAGCAAGTAGAACACATTAAAGTTAATGGTGTCTCATAGACCACCAGCCATTCCCTGTGACTGTGTCTCTGACTGTCCAACCAAGATAGAGCTGGGCTCAGAACTACACAGCAATTAGAAGAGGTTTGTCTGCTTGCTGCAGCCCTGTAGCTCCATACTTATCTTGCACTCTATCCTAATCATACGGGTGGAGAAGATATGAGGATATTTGAGCACCTCTGCTTCAAATAGTTCAACTGAATTTAACATAAAGTGTCTTAAACATTGAAGTGATTGTTAGCATCAGTGCAAACATACCTTTTCTCACACTTTTTGTAGTTGCCGTGTTCATCTTTCCCACAGTTTCCAAATGCATTCCCTGCTGCATTGACATCTTCAAAGCAGGCATCATGGGCTGGTTGAGCTCCTGGAAATGAAAAGCCTTCCATCAGTAAGTCACATGAACTCAGGGGTTTGGTGTTCTGGGAAAGGCCTGTTTCCTCTCCTTTAGAAACAAGCTGATGTGCTGATTTACAAACCAAGCAGGCCATCTGTCTACCATCAGGATGACAATGCTCAGCCTACACACTGTAAATCTTGGCATGCACAACATCATATGGCTTACATACTGAGAGGCTGAGGTGTAGTCAGTGCAGAGATGTAACAGTGTTTTCATTACCGTAACCCCAGAGCTGCAGGCACTGCTGTTCATGGGTGAGGCACATGCCGTTGTAGCAGTAGGCCTTTCCATACTGGCAGGAGGAGCCGTCAAGCAGGTAGACATTGGCAGGACAGTATGGAGAGGCCCCAGTACAGTACTCTGGGAGGTCACATGACCCTGCTGGTCCTCTGCACATGGTGCCTGCCTGCTTCAACTGGCAGAGACAGCAAGCAGAGAAAGGAGGAGGGAGAGAAGGACAGAGTTTTAAGTGATTTATCAGGTGAAATGAGAAGAACTGTTAATAATGAACCTGAAGGTAAAAGTTAAATATGGACCAAAACTATGTTTGATTCATACTTTGTCACCATATTCTGTTTTTGGTCGAGGAATCTTTCTCAAAATATGTGCATTAGTCAAAGCTGGCTTCATGCTAGTAGTGAAGACTATTTATACAGTGAATTGATTTTATCAATTCATCAAATTAACAGTTTATGAAGATTTAATTTTTGGAAAATCTGGATTATCTTTTTAACACTGCAGTCCTCGGGCTGCTGTAGTTCAGAGAGAAGTCAGTCAGTCAAGGGCCAACAATCTTGTTTTGCAGCTTGTATTTAGTTGGAGTTTGAATTCAGGTTAAATCCCAAAATGTTAATCTAAATCTTTTCTGTCATTTATAATTTCTCTTTAAGAAAATAAGGGCAGAGAAATATAGATTATAAATGGAAATTGGATTTGGTTTGATAGAAGTGGACTAAAAAACTGGGACTAGACTAGAAAAGTCGTAGAAGCATTCTGGATAAAAATTCATACTTAGGTTTTATTACATATGATCTACTTTTCCAGGTTCTACCCTTATTGAAATCTGAATGTCTGATCTACAAATTTACATGGTACAGTAATAAAAACAACCCCTTATATATAACCTGTGTGTGCAAAGATATAACACCTGTCACACAACACATAGCCTGCAGAGTTACAAAGACAGTACTATTAAAAGACAGCACTCCCACAGAAAGAATGAGAGAAGACAGGGGTTTTCTTCTGCAAACTGCATTCTGTTACTGCCATCTTCAATATTTTGTGTCTTCTGTCAGGTTGGAGCTCAGAGGAATTTGGCTTCAATCATCTATGTATTACAGTGAAATGTAAGGACTTCCATTTTAAAAAGGAGATGTGAGCTGAGATGAAAAGTGCCAGTGTGATGTGAAGGTGATGAGCCATGCTGTGACAGAAGATCAGACATGTTCTGGGTGCAGTGTGTCAATCCACTGACATGAAGACTGACAGCAAACTAATGATACAGAGCTCCAGCTGCAGGCGGATTTCTCTCCAAACTTTGCCGCCACAGGTTTTTGTATGTTTCTTACCTTACATGCATGGCAGCACACTCCGTGGGCACACTGAGCCCCCTCCCTGAGTGTACAATTATTGGCATTGCAGCAGTCATTGGTGCATTCCTGTAAATAATCATACACACCGACATTAAAAACCTCAAAACTGAACACCTTGTATGTAAGCAATACAAAGCAGCAGTATATATCATATCTGTTTTTTAATACACAAAATTATTTTCTAAAACAAATTTATGGATGGTAAAAACTTTATTCTTCATTTGTTCTGATTTTTATATAACATCTTAAAACTAGCTTTAAAGCAGCCAATCAAAATGAAGCCAGGCTCAGAAGAGCTATGTAATGAACTCATTTATTGCTGTTAAATTAATTTATTTATTTGCGCACAGAAATTTCCCAGTCTTTGATTTATGATACTGGCAGCAACAGTATTTGTATTTCTATGGTTTACTGAAGAATAATTTGACATTTTTATAGTTAACATTTATAGTGTTTGACCCATTTGTTCAGAACCTCAATAATTCACTCCAGTTATTAACAAATAAATCAAATCTTGATTCTCAGACATTTTTCTTGTTGAGAACTGATCTCTTGGCTTGTTTTTGTCCAGCTTCCATTTGAGAACTGACCACACAATCTCAGTGAAATCTTCTGCTTGTACTTCCTGCAGGATTTCAGTCAGTGTGGCTTTGTTTCTGGGCTTAACTCTGATGAATGATGAAACCATACGTTCTCCCACTGACTGCTTATCTTGAAGATTTTGAATCCTGAAAACACTTCTCCTGTAACATTCTGACCAGTTGCTTCCTTTCACATGAAGCCACTTTGATACAAAGTGATAATAGCGGTGAACTTCACTGTGGAGGTACCAATTACATAAAAGTTCACACAAAGTTCATTGCTTTTATTTTTCTGAAAGACTTGGATTCAAATGCTGCTGCATGAAGCATTATGGTTGGAGAGGTGATGGTGGCGGGTATGGGAAGGTATTCACCTATCAACTACAGATATTTAAATAGAAACACCGACAGATGAGAGATCCAGTTCCACAGGCTTGACAGCTGTGACTGACAAGTCCCCGTTTCAACAGATGTTGGAGGGAAAAGCACAAAAACAAAACATCCAGAGAGCTGCCTTTGTTGCCGCTCTCATGTCATACAGCATACACAAAAGACACCATCTCTAGTTGCCATGGCGCCTAAGGAGAGTCACGGTTGTGCTCAAAACAAAGCTCAGAGTTGACTCAAGCAAGAAGAAGAAGCGCCAATTATAACACCAGGAAATAAGGAGGAAACGCAAAAAACCCCACAACAAAAATCACTCCTTTATTTTCTATAATTAATTTGAGAAAGACGAGAGCAGCAATGGTGGACTTGTAAAAAAAAAAAAAAGAAAAAGATCGGCCTAACTTTTAGTACAAATAAAACTTCCAGTTTTATGATTAAATATTTATGGTTAGAGGAAATTTGATTTACAAAACAGATTCTAACTTGTTTTCTGAAAAAAAAAAGAAAAAAAAAACTAACGACAGGAATCATCTTGCTTCAAGTGTGAAACTCCGTGCATGTTGGAACATTAAACCATGTTCTGCAGCTCGTCTCATTTGCAATGCTAAGAACAGGTGGCTTGTCAGTGCTGTGATCTTGACTGTCAGCTCTGCTCTGAGTGGGAGTCATAACAAACACTCATCATCACTGCCGCTGCTGCTGGCAGCTAACAATTTGCTTCCTCCATTTCAATTTGCCCGTCTTTGACAAACCATAGCAGGTTTACTTAACCTCTGGCTTTACCCAGCACAAACACTTTCATTCTGATATCAGGAAACTTTCAGCTGTGTTGCATGCTGGGATGCTTAATCTATGAATGATTAATTACAGAGGAATTTGTGATGGGTTTTTTCTGAGTTGAAGAGGTTCAGGTGAGACTTAGGGAGGAAAAGTTCCTCTTGTTGCTCCAACACTTCAGTTAGCCTGTGACCACGGGAATCACCTCATTACAGCAATAAATATTGCCATCTCATTATAAATCTGTTATATTTTTAATTGTTTGGGCTTCAGATATGGGTTTTTGTGATAAGAACTACTTTGTCCAGAGAGCTTAGCGGCTTTTTAACACCTAAAACCATAAAGAGACCATTTCACAGACCTGCAGTCAAGACCAGCTTTACAGATTACAACAAAGTCTGGGAGATTAAAACCATGGATAGCAGATGGATAGCAGCTGTCAGTCACAAGGACTGTCAGCCCTCAGTTTATTCACAGATTAGCAGCTAACACTTTTCACAAAGTAAAAAGACTAACGTTCATGTACTTCATGAGCAAGACGAAATAAAATATTGCAGTATAGAGAAGGTACGAATAAACATTAGTAACCATGGAGAAAATACCCCACTATCATGTGTCCTAGCATGCATGAAAAAAATGGGCTAGCATCTAGACTTTAAGTCTGCTCTAGTGAAAGCAGAGTTGCTTTCACTAGAGCAACACAGTGGTTGTGATTTCTATCACTGTGTTCATGACACAGTGGTAGAAATCATGCCCCATTAATTTAGGCAAAGTCAGCAACTTCATCAAATCAACAAACACGTCAGGGGAGAGAAGGTATGGGTCGGTTTCTAAGCTAACCATTTACAAATTTTGTAAATATCTATGAGCCCCAGCTAGCTGTGCTGCTTCCACAGACAAGTTAACTCAGCATTAACAAGGAGAAGACATGGCTATACTGGTGAAAACAACCTGGAAAAACAATCACAGTTCAATATTCCTGTCCCTCACTTTCAATGTCTGTCATTGTGCTTCAACGTGATGAGGTGACATGGCTGCAAAAGGTCAATATCAGAAGTCATCGCACATGGACACTAAATGCTTGGAGGAAAAAGCTACACGTACAATGGTAAAGGCGGTTCATGTGCATTCAACGTATGAGAGTTCTGTGCCTTAAATAATTCCAATCAAGGTACTCACATCAGGCTCCCCACAATCACACTCTTCTCCATCCTCCACAAAGCCATTGCCACATTTCTTGCCTCCCACCAGATCCTTCATGTTGGGCATGTTATAGAGGCACATGCCCCCCCCCTTCTGGAAGTAGTTGTCCAGGTCCCGTTTGCTGCAGTGGCTGAAGACTCGAGGGAACGGATGTCTGGAATTTGGAATCAATAAAATGATTTAATGGTAATGAAGCAACACAAAAAAACGATTTTTATGTATGGTGTTTAGATAGAAGCTATATGTAGTAAAACTGATTAAACAAGCAAATAATAATTATTAACTAGAAAATTCCTGAAGAAATTTAACCGGGGCCTGCCAAAGTGTGCCCGTCGGTTGGAAACCAGCGTTCTGATGCTAAAAATAATCATCAATGCTAAATCATAGTCAATAACCTGTGGAGAGGCAGAAGCATGTGAACTAAGCTGCACCTGTACCATTCAGTATGTTAAAATTAATGCAAAAGCTAAAATTACCCAAAATGCTAATGTTAGTGTGAAGACTGTCAGTAGCATGTGGGGCATCATTCGCATGTTGTCTGTCATTGACTTACTCCATTCAGTATACTAAACATTGTTTATAAGTAAGAAAATTAGCTAATGGCTAACTTTAGGGGAAATGCTAATGCTAATGTACTTCTTTGCTGCGCAAGGCAGTGCAGTAGTGGGGGCAGTGAAATGCTAACGTTTGTGCTAATGTTAATGAACTGCCTTGCTGCTCAAGGCAGTTCACTATCCTGAGGAAAAAAAAAAACATAAAAAAAGCTAAATTAAAGTGTTCCACCATGTTTAGAACTACAGTCTTTGTAGTCCAAACCAGCAGCTCTGCCTTTCT